AATAATAATAATGAGAAATAGAAGAAATATAGATTACGATAATTTGTGGCTACTGTTCTGGCTTACGAGGCCAATTCTGGCAAAGAAGAATTTGCAACATTTTTGAGCATCTAAAATCTTCTTTTTCCATTTCACTTAGCCTATGAATGCGAGCAGCATGTGGGCTTTTCAGACCATTAGATTCTAATCAACACCTAATAATATTCTCTGCAGGAATACAAGTCCACCTGATCAGAATGATTCTCTTTGCCTTGAGCGATCTCTGTGGGCCAAAATGTTGTCTTGACAACAACAAAAGCAACTCTTTTTTACGTCATAAATTGAGGCGTGGCGTGTTCTTGAAGGAAGGTCACTCCTGTTGGTCTTTACACATATCGCACCTCCTCAACCCGTTCTCATCGCACTGCATACATCGCAGGGCACAGAACTCTTCAGTGAAATGGTTCCTGATCAGAGACCGCTTGCTCCCATGGCACGTCTCGCAGGGCACGAACCGGTACCCTCCGCACTTTTCACACATGATGCGCACCACGATTTTCTGGGGGGAGAACGGAAGAAAGATGCTCTTCAGATGACGACACTAAATTATTATAAAACTAAAACAAAATTAATTAATCATTACAGAATGAGTAGTTTGAGAGGGGAAATAATCATATAAAACCCGGGCTTCGTAAAATATAACCCCGATTATTTCCCTTGTAATTAATTGACTTGAATAATTCACCTCAGGTATTCGGTTGTCGCTCTTGCTTCTCGCAATTCAAAAAGGCGAAGAAGAAGGTAACAGTTGTTCACGAAAGAAAAGAAAACAAAAGAAAACAAACCAAAAGAAAAAAAGAAAATCCCGCCATGAAACAGTATGTGGCCTAGGGGAGCAGAGAAAAGGAGGAGAGAGACAGATCTAGAGATGGAGAGAGACAGAAAGAAAGTGAGAGAGAGCGAGAAAGTGAGAGAGAGCGAGAAAGCGTTTGAGAGAGACCCAGAGAAAGGGATGGAGAGGGAGGGGGATGGAGGAAGAAAGAGAGAGATAGACAGAGACAGAGAGACAGACAGACAGACAGACAATCAGACAGACAGACAGACAGACAGACAGACAGGCAGGCAGACAGATAGACAGATAGACAGACAGACAGAGAAGTTGATTTTACAAACACCCTGGACATGTTCACCTACCGCATAGCTATCGAGAAGCCCTCGCAACTCGCCGGCCTCATTCAGCTTCTCTAGCTCATCAGAACCCTGAAAAACACACGCGAATAATCATCATCATCATCATCATCATCATCATCAGCAGCA